ACCATTAGAATTTTCTCCTTATTATTCCGCACACTGCAACTAACTGATATCCGGCCTGATGACGTAACAGCCAGTGGTATCCAGAAATCCAACCGCCCTAAAACAAAAGTACTCATCCAAATCATAAGACATACAAATTCATAAATAACTGCCAACAGACTAGAATTAGTGGATTAAAGTTGCTGGACTTGTGGATATTTGACACTACAACATATCTAAAACTATACCGAAAGAACCAGAATTGATGTCGAAGAAATAAGCTCGTTCATAATCGCTCATGAAAAAGATATTGGATACTGTATTGTTTTAACGCACCAAAGAATAACGTGTTGATCAAGGTGTTTAAGAACGTTTTCAAATAAGCGTCTTGAACATGGGAGCAGCCTATACAAAAGTTTTAAATTATCTGTACATAGTTGACAGTGGTGAGGCGACGACTGATTCTAATATTAAGAAAGCTAAGATGAATTACATGCTGTCGTCAACTCAAAAACCAACTAAGCCTGTACGTTTAACAATTTTTTGATTGAAAACCTTTTAAAAGAACCCTTGCTGGAAAACACTTGAACTACAGAAGCTTAACAGAGAACTGAGTATAAGCAATCTTAAAGCTGGGGCAAAATTTATTCATGAATGCAGATGCAAGCGAGAAAATATAGCTGTAATAATGTAAGTAGTTCACTGAAAAATAATACATAACTTTTTACAAAACCGTTACTGATTGCTGATATCAGTTTGTTGTTATGCTTCTTGCTTTATGACTTATTTCAGGCAGAATATTTTTGAAAGCATGTATGGGATAACCTAAATTTCTATTCATAATTTCATTTGATCCATTTAATTCACGAGAATATTGAGAACTAGTGAATTTTTTGTACATACTTTCTGCACCGCCCTCTTAAAGATAATAGTCTCCAGACTTTTTTATTCCCTGAAACAGAGAATGTCATTCAATATGATACATGTGTGATTTACGCGTACGGCGTAACTTTGTTTCAACGGTGAAAACTAATTTGAAATAAACGAGTCTTAATGTAAACCGGTGATGACTTACCTTTTTATTTACAGGCATAAAATGAGGGTTTTGAGATATTTTTAACACAAACATTTCCTTTATATTGTCGTTAAAATCTTCGTTACGTTCATTTTCACTGGTTAAAATGTCAAATATATATAACAGTATCTTTTCTATCCCCTAAGGGATTAGTCTATTATAGAGGTAAAAGACAACAAACCTACATGAGCCAGAGAAAAACTCATTGAAATTTTGATCAGCTTCATAAATTTGTGTTCTTTATATAACCTAAACCAGTTATTTAATTTAGAACCCGAATTCTGATGTAATCATCTTTAATGTCTCTATGATCAAAGCCAAAAACTAACATAATTTTTCCTCATTACTGTTTTCTCTGACTATCACCACAGTAGATAACATAAGTATAAGCACACTGGCACCTTTTTATTCATGGCTAGAACAAATTTAAATATATATATATTCATAATAATCTTGTTATCCAGCTGCTAGTAGGGACTAAAGTTTCCGAAAACTTTTTGTAAATTTAAAAGTGTAATCAAAAAGTATAAGGGATAAAGTTGTAAAATTTCCGGTAATACATATTTTCAAAACGTAAAATGCTAATTTCACTCAGTTAATTTCAAATCAATTATCAAATGTACTGAAACACGTTTACACAGGAAGAGATTTATTTGAACATATTTTCGTTCTGAAGTAAAAAGACAATAAATATGAATGGTGTTTCAGTGGAAGATATGCAAATGTTAACTTCACCCAAGAAACTTAATTGCATCGACCTATCTGGTGCTTAATATTCTCTATTTAGTTTCTGTGATAAATACAAATTAATCTGATTCGCATCACTAAAGGCTTTGAAAACGTAGCTCAATAACGTATATTCAGTTCATTTCCATAAATGGCTTTAACAAAAAAGACCTTCTCTTTAATCTCTTGACACTTTTATCCTAAGAAATAGAAATCATTCCAGTACCTCTTATGTATCTTGATTCATTCGTTTCCTTGATTCCTAAAAGACCACAGGGCCAGACTTTCAAGCTGTGAAAGATCCTTAATTCAACTGCTAGTTCGAATCTATTTCCATTTTACTTCACATTTTTAATCAATTAGTGTTCGTGGCCTCCATAAAACAGGTGCAGCTCAAAGACTCAAAAGAAAGGTTATTTTTCGGTTTTTAATCTTACCGAGTAGGTTTTTCATAAAATTAATAAAGTATTACAACAGTCAAACATCTTCTGACCCTTCATATAAAGCCAAAAGCCATAATTATGAAGCTTTCTGAGTCTTTTTCTTTAGTAACAATCTCTAGAAAATTATCTAGCCATCTAGTTTTAATAATTTAGGATATTCGTCTGAAATTCATTTTTTAAAATAAAATAGATCTTTAGGAAAAAAGAACTTTTGTTAGCTTAGGAATCGAGGAAGTAAATTTTATCTTATTTGGAACTCGTCAGTTGCATGAGCCTGTATTTTTGTGCTGATGTTGATTCTGCTACCTAAACCTAAGATATTCCAATTCGAACACCAGGTCCTTAACAAATAAGCTACTGAACCTAAAGAGCCAATAATTTCTTCCAAGAGTATAATATTTAGATCATTAATAGTAAGGATCTGGATTGTCGAAGTGATAATTTGAAGCCTGAAATACACGCACACTCAGCTGACGAGTTCAAAATAAATTGAAACAATCTTCCTGAATTCCAGTACTATCCACAACCCATCTGTTCTAAATAACTCATGAAATAATGAGTACACAAATTCAATCTACATAAGATGTATATATCAAAAAATGTTTACCAAATTCAGTAGTGGACATCAACAGTGTCATATCTTAAACAAAAATAAATATATTTCAAACATTTTTCATGATGGTATTACTTTTGTAACCTTAGGCTATTCGTAGCTGATGAGAATTCTTAATCTAGAACGATGAATTAACTTTGTTTCTAAAAGAAATCCTGCTGTATTTACTTTCCTTGGATAATATTAATTATGCTATTTGATTTTACAGTTTTCGTTTTGTCTAAAAAAAATAGTATTGATCACCTCTTTCGAGGACAGAAATGTTGTATCGTAGCTAAAAAATCAGCTGACAGATTGTACAGATTTTAAAACGATTAAACTTCAATGAAATCGTACTTAAAAACTAAAGAATACGATTGTTAATATTCAATAATATTTTCATCAGCGTTAATTATCATAACTACTATAAGTAATTTTAAGGCAACTTCTGTGTTCTAAAGAGTGCAAACTTTATAGAATAGACTTTATGTACAAATTATTTTTCAAATGTCTGCATGCAAATTGCTCATAAACCAGTTGAATTCAGTTCTAGACTGTTGGCTGTTATATAGCACACTGCAAAGAACTGCATATCTGCAACTGGATCACAGTAATAATAAATAAGTAACTTGAAATAAGTTAACTTTTAATATATTAATTCCATTTTTCAAAAGTCCCAAAGATTACAGCGAGAATTAAAACTCAAGCTAATGTTTCCCATCTAGCAAGATAATAATCACATACCAGTTAACATACTTAAAAATAATAAGGACAGTTTTAATATAAAATTAATTATCTACTGAGGCGTTTCAAATGTGTTTATTCTCTGTTCTAATGTTTTGGTCAATCTTTGTACATAGTATCTTCATTTCTATATGATCGAACACTAAACAGTAGTGATCAACATCATTCTTATCCAATCTTTTACTGATGACGAAATTTTATCGATCGAATTGCAACTTGGTCATTTATCTGAGTAACTCGATGTTGTGTACACTATGTTAAGATGTAAAATAATAGTTGGAAGTAGTCGACAGGAAATGCTGAAGCTTGGTTTTGTACTGGTTGATACTCACCGCTATAATCACAGATGCTGTTTTAACGTCACATATGTACAGACCAAAAAAGAAGCATCAATACCCTAAATATTAGTATTGTGCCAACTCCTTGCCAACTATCCGAAAATCTAGATCTATTGTTTCGTGTTGACTATTTCCAACTACTTAACTTTTCACCCTTGTCATATTTTCACTTAACCAGTATTGAAATGAAAATCATCTATTGTCAAATATTTTCAAATCAAAACCAATTTAACTGATCTTATTTTTACAAATAAATATGGTAAAGAGGGTTTAAATTAACCATTTTTATATTTTAAAATTGTAATTCGGACCTCCTGTTCATGTATGTGTATGACGAAAATGCGATAATTTGACTTTGAAAAGTGAAGTAAGACATTTCGTACGGTACATACACATATTTACTCATAAAGGTGTTGAGAAAAACCACATAATACGCACATTTATCGGACTGTTCAACTAACAATATTTAAACTCAATTTTTTTTCATTTGAATAATATTCAAAAATTGACATCGGTTAACGAGGTGTTGTTTTAGTCGAAGAGTCTAGTTCATTGTAGTTTTGAGATTTATCAGTAACATTCACGTGTAAGTTCGTACATAGATAGATTTACACGAGTGACACCATATCTTAATGAAGTGAAATTAAAAGGGTCAATTTCTAGATTTTATGTTTGAAAATAACATGCTCACCATAAGCGTTGAGGTATATAGTTAAGTCTTGGATAAGATAATAGATTCTCCTGCTGAGGAATCCTAAATTACGACGAAACTGTTGTTGAATACTCACTGGTCTTTAGTAGTTCATTATCTGAATTCAGTTCATAAATAAAATAATCACATGACCAAACGCGCATCATGAATTCCACTATCAGCCACTATCCACCTCCTCTAATAATGCTCGTAACCTAAAGGTGATATTGTGGCGATCTGTACCGGAAATATTTATCCCAAAGAGACAGATCAATTAATCTTCATTCTATTGCATAGACCAGTTGACTATCGGGACTCATTAGTAAATGGATAACACGATAGCATTTGAAACTTATGGTACTGGGTTCGAATCCTTGAGGGAATATCAACATCCAGCTGATCAGTCCCAAACAGGACGAAACATGGTTTACACTGCTAACCTTAAAATCTACCTTCGTTAATAATGAAAATGTATATTTTTTGAAATAATATTTTTAAGAAAAAGAAGTTTATTTCATTGTGTAAAACATGATTTTAGTCTACAAATTTTGTGATAAAACAATGAGTCACACAAAACCTGTTTAAATTGATTTTTGAGATAAAAAAGTCACCTGAATTTATGATACGTACCTTGAACTTATTCGTCAACAAAAAAACACATCTCTCTTTAACATGAATGAATAAATAATTCTATTCAATATTTGGCATGAATTTTTTTCGAAATGACTTGTTTTTTTGTCTCTTAATGGAATGTTTTTATACAACTAACAACTAAAGAAAAATGTACACTTTTTAACATTTGGAATAAACTTTTAATACTCAGAACAAAAATAGAAAGACGGTACACATTAGGGTTATGTTTTTCTTTTTCATTGTTCAATAATATGATTGGTGTTTGTTTATGACTGGATGTGTAGTTTGTTATTTTTTTTGACTAGAAAAAATATTTCAGTTGTTTAGTTGTAATTCGTTTTCAATTATTTTGTTTTGGAGATGTTCACATGAGATACATTTGAATCTATCATAATGCTGTTATGTAGCTATTCGAAATCGTACCGATTGACCGAATTCAGATATTCTA